TAATGAGACAATTATTAAATGGGAATAGGATCCCTACCACCCATTCCACACCTTAGCCAAATTGTGTCCCCGCCTATGGGCCACCACATCTAGCTATTAGACATTTAGCTATTGACGTTCTACACCTCCCTCAAATAAAAGGTCCAATTTTCTTCACTTAAATCTATGTCCCCGGTTATTAATCCCTCCATTAATGGGAAGTGGTTCTTCCTGTCTACACCATCTGTGCCCATCTTATTTTTATGTATCTGAATTGTGTCCCCTCTCCATCTCCTCTGCAATAATGAAAACAACCCCAGACTGTCAAAACTCTCTCCAGAACTAAAACTCTCCACCCAGGCAACATCCTGGTAAATCTTCTCGGCACCCTCTCCCGTGCATTTCACATCCCTCCTAAAACGTGCAGAATGTTGGCCTATATTTCAAGGGGGTTTGAGTACAGTTACGTAGAATTTTAGTAAGACATGGTATGTAGTACTGTGGACAGTTCTAATGCACTGTGTACCAGCTAGAATTCGATTGGTCATACTTACCAGACTTTAAGCAAAACATACTTAATTCTTACACCACAGTTAAAACACAAACAACAAAAATAGAATTGGGGCACAACTTGAACTCCATCAAAATACTTAACAAAATAATATATTATTTAATTTCTACTCATGAACTCTTCCAATACAGCAGCATCCTATAAATGCACCTTTAGTAAAGGCAAATTCAGCAAAACAGATTTTCCTCACTTGCTATCTCCTCCAGTCCAGGAGAAAGGAACACCAAAGAAACAATCTCACAGCAGAGAAAGAACTCAAGCTTTTTGTCAACAGCAGAGAGCGATGAGAGTTGCAACTAGTAGCTTCAACACCAAAAAATGCAACTTCAGCAACTGAAAGCAAAATAAAACCCTGGATCTGTCAGAGCCTGACTCCACACATCTCATGTTGCTTTTAAATTTAAAAAAAACCAAAGCCATTTGCTCTGCTTTCCATGCAGCAGACACCTTGGCTCCAGGTTGACAACACCCCACTTCAAGAGAAACAGGAAGGAACAAATCCTTCTTCAAGGCACAAGTGGTTCAGAAACAGTGGTATCAGCCTGCTCTCCTTGGAGTCAGTTTAACAGACACGGTGGAGTCAGTCTGCTCTCCCCGGGATAAGTAACAGAGGCACAGTGGGGTTGGTCTGCTCAGATCTGGGTCTCTAACAGAGACTGTTGTCCCTTTGGTCAGCAACAGAGACACAATTGGGTCAGTTTGCACTCCCCTGGGTCAGTGACAGTGATAGAGTAGAGTGAGATAATGCAGCATGGAGCTAGAGGAACACAGCAGGCCAGACAGCATCAGAGAAGCAGGAAAGTTGATGTTTTGGCTTGGGTCCCTTCTTCAGAAAAGATTTCTGAAACTCCATTGTTGTTGTTTTCTTCATATGCTATTGTATAGAACCAAAATGCTTTCGTAACAATGGATGTATATAAACATTTTCTTTACAAGGTATATTTTTGAAATAAAAAAAATCTTCGTTTGATATGGGATCCAAAACTGCTCACAATATTCCAAATGCCTTATACAACCTGAGCAGTACATCCCTGGTCTTGTATTCTAGCCTTCTCAAACAAACACTAACTGCCAACTGAAGCTGCACTTTAACCTGAAGAGAATGCTGAACACAGACTAACAAGTCTCTTTGTGCTTCAGATTTCCAAAGCCTTTGCCCATTTAGAAAACACTCTGCTTCTTTCTCCTTCTAATCCCAGTGCATAACCTTACACACTTTTCCACATTGTATTACACCTGCCAACTGAATCTTTAAGAGAATCCTGAACAAGGACTCACCCCCCGAGTACCTTTTTCTGTGCTTCAGGTCTGGCAGCATCTGCCCGGAGAGAGATAAAGCAGAGACAATGTTTCGAGTCCGGGTGCGGCTGTCCTTTGGAAGAGTACACTTTGGGACTTGATGCACCGACACACAATTTCTTCATCACTTTCTACTCTTTGTCGGTGTGACTATTTTTCATTCTGACACATTATTTGTTTGGCAACATCTGGAGTCGGCCGTTTTTTGTTTTTGTTTTCTCTCCTGAAAGGGTTGTTTCTCTTTAAAGAGTTTTTCTTCTGAAGCAGCTGCTAATGGTTACTTGGGGCACAAGGCGGCTGTTAACCACCATCTCGGTGCCACGGCCTGAAGCTAAAATGGCAGCAGTCCCACCCAGAAAGGAGGAGAGCGGTCTGTGTTGGCAAAGTCCCATTCCTGAAGGTTATGATGGTGGGACATTGGGGGTGGAGGAGGAGCGATTCCGCTTGGGCCCGGCTTAGCAGAACTAGGTGACCGTTACCGAATTTATGTTACATTTTCACCCCCCCTCTCACTCAGCCCCGAAGGTTTTTATTTAAATTCGAGGATATTGTGAGAGATAGTAGGAACTGCAGATGCTGGAGAATCTGAGATAACAAGGTGTAGAGCTGGATGAACACAGCAGGCCAAGCAGCATCATAGGAGCAGGAAAGCTGACGTTTCGGGCCTAGACCCTTCATCAGAAATGGATTTGAATCCCATCTAGGCTGATGGTAAAATCTGAGGTCAGTTAAGCCCTGGACAATAGAAATGTGGTTTAATGGTGACCATCTAACCTCACGTCAATTGTCGTAAAACCCATCTGGTCCACTAATACCCTATAGGAATGAGGAAATCACCTGTCCTTACCTGGTCTGGCCTTTTCTGTGACTCCAGACCCACAGTAATGCGGTTGTCTCTTAACTACCCCTAGAAATGGTCTAACAAGTGGCTCAGTTCAATGGTAGTTAGAGATGGTTAATAAATGGCAGCTGAGCTAGAGGTGCGAACAACTCATAAGCCAAAGTTTAAAAAAAAACACATGGGATCAGGCAGGGAGCTGCTACCATGAGTTTTACAACACCTGAATACAGCGCCATTTACCAGACTTAATTAGCAGTAACTGTAAGTTGAGAAATACACAGCCCCATCCAAGTGGTTTCAGCAGAGTGAGCCCTACCTTGGTATAGATTTTCTGTTTTCTTATTAATTAATCGCTGTTAGATTTTACAGAAGAGTTCTGGTAAATATGTAAACAAGTTTCACAGGAACAAGAGGAGGCCATTCAGCCGCTCAAGCCTGTTCTGCCCCTCAATAAAATCGCGGCTGCTCCATGGCCTCACTCCATTTCCCTGCCTTGAGCCGATACCCCTGATATGCTTGATTAATAACAGATGTTGTTAATTTCAGATTTAAATTTAACAATTGCTCCATTTTCACCAGTCAAAGTCAGGTTTCAAAAAAGATATGACAGCTTTCAAAAGACTGAAATGGAGGAATTGCAACATTTAATTGAACAGCTGAATTGGCTTGGCTGGGCACTCAAGCCAGGTCAGATGCCAGTTTTGAAGTCCAAATGTTGAGTACAACTATGAAATATTCCAAGGTGAAGGATATTGTTTGGACAAATAATTGAAAACAAATTGAAATGAAGCAGCTTTTAAAAATAATTTCATCCTGGGAGATACCAGGAACATGAAACTTTTTTTTTTAAAGTGATGCTTCTCATGCAAATCTCCACTGCAAGGAGGCTTGGAACTTTGCTAGTGGAAATGGGAAGTAAATTGTTGCACCTTAATTTGGGAATCTAAAACTATCAGAAGAATAGTAAAATGTTCATAGCAAAGATTCTTATTCTCAGTGAGGAGGGAGATATGGCATTTTTCCTAGCAAAAATATTAGAAGAAATTCCAAAAAGGGATTATTCAGCAGCAAAACCCATTGAGTACTACATCGATGATAAGTCACTATGGGATAACATACATTCAATGAAATGTCTGAAACAAAAACGAAATAGAGAATGAATATTGCTGTTTTATAATAGATCATGGAGAATGGAACTATCTCCAAATTTTAATTGGTAAAAAATGGGAATATAATCAGTTGTCAATTTCTAAGTTTTGTTCTATTATTATTATTTTGTTATATTACCAAAAGGAAAATGGAAATCTGTATTCATCTAATACAGTCTGAAGGAATACCCAAAACCTAATGAAATGAGGGAATGGGAGATGGATATATTAATGAAAAGTTAATTGGATATAAATTAGATATATAAATATGGGGAGTCAGTAGTCAATGGGATGGCGGGGGGGAGTGTGGTGAACTGAAATAAATTGTGGTTGAAAACAATTATCTTTTGGAGTACAGTGCCTGGGCCACAACTTTGCAAACCTCACTTTCCGTCCCACCAACTTTTGTCAACCTGACTTCCTCTGGCAGCTTTGCTCCCTGCCAGCACTGTCCGTCTCACTGCCTCCCTCCCACATTTGCTGCTGAAAGACTCACTGAGAGTCTGTAAGGAGATATGGGTGAGAAGCAGCCTGCAAATGGACAAGCTGCTCATCAGATTATATCCATTGCATTTATGGGGATAACTCTTCTCCCACTGTTTGCCCCAGTGATTGAAATTTCCCAGGTGTTTTGTGAACTTTCAGGGAAAATGCGCTCCCTCCCCCATGTATTTTGAGTATTGTCCCAAACTCCAATCTTATGTTCTCCCTTTCTTCCCAAAAGTCATTCCACTTTATTCTGGAGATTCATCTGTTTAACATCAGGGAGATCATATACCACACAGGAACTGCTTAGGTCTGTACTAAAGTCTGTCAATTCTGCTAACTATAGAATCTGCCATATATAGAATTGCTCTCCTTGTGTGCCAGCACCTCTAAGCCCCAGACTCCTCTCCACTTGGGTAAGCTTCTTGGTCCCTGGTCTTACACTGCAGACCCTGCTCAAAGTCCCTTTCTTGATTCATGTCAATATCAGATATCTACTGAACAGTTCCAGTAATCCAGGAGCTTCCATCCACCTGTTATTTTCATGTCACTCAAGACAGTCACTCCTTTTCCTATTTCTGTTTAGCCCGTTTGTTGCTTCTTCCTGTGAGAGCTACAGGTTCTGGCACAATTTAGCAAAAGAGAAATAATATTTTAAAGAATCTTGTCAACCTACCTGTGTCCATTTTCATTTTTTTTTAAAGCAACTGGAACTTCTCCCCTGCTTGAACTTTCAGCCATGATGGTTAAAGTTGTTCCAGATTCTGATATTCTATAATAAATGAAATAAGGTTAGACAGAAATACTAAAATTCTCTTTTTATATATTTACTTGTGGGATGTGGGTATTGCTGGCTGGCCGGCCAGCATTTATTGCATGCCCCTAGTTGCACTTGAGAAGGTTGTGGTGAGCTACCTTCTTGAACTGCTGCAATCCACCTGCTGTGGATTGACCCATAATGCAACTAGGGAGGGAATTCCAGCATTTTGACCCAGCAACAGTAAAGGAATGGCAATATATTTCCAAGTCAGGACGGTGAGCGGCTTGGAGGGGAGCTTGAAATGGTGGTGTTCCCTTATATTTGCTGCCCTTGTCCTTCTCGATGGAAGTGCTTGTGGGTTTGGAAGGAATTGTCTGAGAATCTCTGGTGAATTCCTGCAATGCATCTTGTAGATAGTACTTGCTGCTATTGAGCGCGGTGGTGGTGGAGGGAGTGAATGCTTGTGGATGTAGTGCCAATCAAGCAGGCTGCTTTGTCCTGGATGGTGTCAAGCTTCTCAAGTGTAGTTGGGGCTGAACTCATCTAGGCAAGCGGGGAGTATTCCATCACACTCCTGACTTGTGCCTCGTAGATCGTGGACAGGCTTTCAGGAGTCAGGAGGTGAGTTACTTGCCGCAGTATTCCTAGCTTCTGATCTGCTCTTGTAACCACTGTGTTTATATGTGAGTCCAGTTAAGTTTCTGGTCAATGGTAACCCCAGGATGTTGACAGTGGGGGAATCTTGGGGGATTGAAAGGGAGAATGTTGCCTTGTTAAATATCAGCCCATCTTCGGCAATGCTGTGCTTCTCATCCATTAATCAATTCTCTACTCATGCTAATACATTAGCCCCAACTTCTTGACTTTTTATCTTCAGTATTACCTTTTGTGTGTCACTTTCTCAAATCCCTTTTTAAAATCCAAGTGTATAACAAACACAGATTCTTTTATCTCACTGATTAGATACACCGCCCACAAGAAAAAGTAGTTTGTCAAACAAGATTTCCCTTTTGTTAAACCATGGTGACTTGTTCTAAAAAGAGTATACATTTCCAAATGCATTAAGGTTTCCTTATTAGTTGATTCCAGAATTGTCCTGAAGTCAAGCCCTCTGCCTACAAGTTTCCTGTTCTCTCGCGCCTTTATTTGTTCAGCTGCCATGTTCCATTTGCTAAATTTCAAACAGCTGACACTGATCCAGACTCAAGAAAATTTCAAAAAATCATGACCACTATTTCTGTATTTGTGTCATTTAGAATCCAAGAATGTAGGCCATCAGACCTGAGAATATGACAGACTGGATGAGTAATCTAGGGGACACAGCTAACATTCTAGGGATATGGGTTCAAATCCCAACATGGGGAAATTTGAATTCAATAGAAATTTGGAATTTAAAGTTGGCCTAATGGTGGTTATGAATTGTCATAGGAATCCATCTGGGTCACTAATGCCATTTAGGAAAGGAAATCTGCCATCTAGTCCGGCCTACATGCGAATCCAGATCCTCTGCCATGTGGTCAACTCTTAACTGCCCTCTTGAATGATCAGGCAAAACACTCAGTTTAAGGGAAACAAATGCTGACTGAGCCAGAAACTCCCACATCCCAGGAATGAATACAAAATGTTCCTTAATTTTCTCCACAACTTTGTCTCTGTTAATATTAATGAGTTCAGTTTCCTCATTCTTATTAGTCCCCATTGACGTTTTCTGATAGGGATCTTGCATCTTCTACTATGAAGACAGAACATTATTTATTCAATGTCTCTACCATTTCCTTATGCTCATAATTAATCCTGTCTCTGGTTCAAAAAAAATTGACATTTCGCAGGTGACGCATAGATAGATCTGTCTGCTCAGTTTTTGTTTTATAAGGGAATGTTTTTTTTTTTAAATTGAAAGGTCTTTTAAATTTCCGACTGTTTATTGATCATATCCTTAGTCTAGTGACAATAACAGTTTTAGTCAGTTCTCCCTTCATATCAATACCATTGGGATGACATTTAGGTCATTGCTCTGATTTAAATTTGAGATTTTTATTTAGAATTGAGTATGCCACCTGGAGTTGTGGAATTGTTCTGCTTCTGTATTGTTATCCCCAGTATTAAAAACTGCAAACATTGAATAATTACAAAGCTGTGTTCAACATTCACTATCCAACAAGACTCCATAGATTATGGTCAGAGGTTGTGCTAATCTTAGCCGTTTGTCACTGCAACACCTTAATGAATTGACAGCAAGTAGCTTCTTAGTTTAGCCTCCCACTTGATTTGTCAGAACCATTTTAATATTCAGAACTAATGGCGAGAATTCAGATACACCAAATAAAGAGTGCCTTGTCAGTTAGTACTACTCTGCCTGAAAGTGGAGTCACTTTTCTGATCAAATGCTACGAGACAAAAAAACCTTGTAACTGTGTTATGAAACAGAAAGTGATCTCCATTTATACTTGACTGCAGAGCCTCACACCGGATAACTGTTCTTGCTTTCACCTTCTCACCATTTCCAAAAATACCTTGTAAATTTTGCGTCTAAAACTTCCTGCCTTACCTTGTAAGGTTTACCCAGGGGCAAATGGACTAGTATTTTAACCACATTAAACAGAATGTTTTTGCTTTTCTCAACTGTTTATCTATGAAAACCATTTGAATCAGAAGGATTGTATCTACTTGGCACAAAGTCCTGCACTGATTAATCTGCTGTTATTCTTCAACAAACAATCCTCATTTCCCTCTTCATAGATTATTTTTCTCAACCTGTTCACTTTGGATGTGCATTATGACTGGAGAGAACATGTGACAAAATAGTGTGAACTAGAATTTCAATTTTGTCAAATCCCAAAGGTACTTGCTTGGAACCCCTACAAATACACAGTTTAACAAAACTGCTATGACTGCTCTGTCTCTCACATTGTTTGATCTTACTGGCTTCATCCTCCCCAGCTCTCTCACTGTCTGATCAAAATTCACAGAATATTTATGGTGCAGAAAGAAGCCATTTGGTCCACTGAGCCTGCTCCAACTCCATTACTTAGTCCAGCTCTATTATCTAGTGCCAATTGTTGCCTTTTACCCAAACCTTGGGGACATCAGAAAAAGCATAGGTCCCAATATCGATCCCCTGGAACTTCACTCCAAACCTTTCTTTATCCAGAAACCATTACTCTCTCTTTCCTACCACTCAGTCAATGTTGTATCCATGTTGTCACTGCCTCTTGTACCATGACCTATAACCTTCCTCATAAATCTACCATGTGTACTTTCTGGAAATCCATGTAAACCACATCAGCAAACATTGCCCTCATTGAACCCTTCTGTAAAATTTTCAAAAAAACTTCAGCAAGTTAACTATGCACAATTTCCTTTTGACTTATCCGAATCAACCCAACTTTTCCCACGTGACTATTAGCTTTATTCCAAATAATTGTCACCAGAAGCTTCCCCATCACCAGAGTTAAACTGACAAGACTAAATTAGGGACAAGCCCGTCAAGTTGTCAATCCTCCAGTCTCCTAGCACCTCCAGGACAGACTGTAATATTATGGCCAGTTCCCCCTTCAATTTCTCCTGTCACTTCACTCAAAATCCTTCGATTTCTCATCCTGTTGTCCTGTTAATCCCAAGTGTCAACATCATTTGGACAGGGACATGGATAGGAAAGGTTTCCTCCTTTTAATATCTGCACATTAACGGTTTGCTGATGAATATCGAAGGTGTTTTCTCACCGTCACTGGAAAGATTTAAAAATAAACTCCCATTTCTCTCCAGCGAAAGGCACCAAGCCGCCCCCGACGAGCTCGCGCAGAGTCAGTTAAACGTCCGTCCTTTCTCCCACCTATCCACTCCACCCACCTCAAGCCCCACCCCATCTCCTACCTACAGGCCTCGTCCCGCCCCCTTGACCTGTCCGTCCTCCCTGGACTAACCTATCCCCTCCCTAACTTCTCACCTTTACTGGCTCCACCCCCGCCTCTTTGACCTGTCTTAAATAAGAGATAACAAGGTGTAAATCTGGATGAACACAGCAGGAAGGCTGACGTTTCGGGCCTAGACCCTTCTTCAGAAATGGGGGAGGGGGTTCTGAAGAAGGGTCTAGGCCCGAAACGTCAGCTTTCCAGCTCCTCTTATGCTGTTTGGCCTGCTGCGTTCATCCGGTTCCATACCTTGTTATGTCAGTTAAACGGCCACACCTCGAGACTGCGCGCGAGCCCAGGGCGGGCCATAGCACACCGCCCAGCTCCGATTGGTCAGATAGTCTGTCAATCTCGTGGCTGTGACCAATAGGAGGTGAGGACCCGCCCAGGGAACGCCGTCTGGAGTCAATGTGAACGAAAAAAAATCTGAGAAACTTGGAGATCGTAAGAACTGCAGATGCTGAAGGAACAAGAAAGTTGACATTTTGGGTCGGGACCCTTCTTCAGGACTGGGTAGGGGGAAGGGACCAGAGAAATAAATAGAGGAGAGAGGTGTTGTTGGGGAATGTAGGTAGGTGGTGGGCGGCGGATAGATGGGAGAGAAGATGGACAGGTTGTGTCCGTTCAAGGAGGGGGGAATGAGAGGGAGGCTTGGACATGGGATGAGACGGCGGCTGCGGTGGGGAGATTTTAAAACTGATGAATTCTACGTTCAGACCATCAGGCTATAGGCTCCTGAGGCAGAATATGACGTGCCGCTCTTCCAGTTTGTGGGTGGTGTCATTGTGATAGTGGAAGAGGCCCAGGATGGTTATGTCACCCAGGGAGTGGGAGTTAAAGTGGAGTATCCAGTCTTTATTTTTTGTTGGGCGGAGCGGATATGAGGGCAGAAGTGCGGGAAACGCAAGAGATGTGGTTGGAGAAACTCGGCAGGTTTGGTAGCTTCTGTGGAGTTAAAGCAGACGTAATGTTTCATATCCAGGGACTTTTCATCAGAACTGATAGTAGCTAGGAAAAAGTGTAGATAGGGGGTGAGGGCTGTATCTCCTGCAATCGGTGTACATGGAGCCCAGAAAGAGAGAGAAGAGCAGTCAGACAGACAAAGGGATGTATAATTGTGAGGCAGGGAGAAAGAAAAGCTGATCATGTGGCTACAGGTGAAAATGGGGTTGGCTGTGCCTGAAGCAGCCCCTTGTCATGATAAGGCCCTTGGCTGTAGGTAAAAGACATGGAAGAAGGTGTTGAGGCTCTAAAATGGTTGAACTTTATATTGAGTCCTGAAGGATGCAGGGTCCATAAGTGGAAAATGAGTTTGTGCTGTTCTTCCAGTTTGTGCTGAGCCTCGCTGGAGACCTGCAGCAGGCCCTGACCCAGAGACATTGGGGCCAGGGAACATGGTCTGTGTGGAAACTCGGAAACCTGGGATCATTTCTGCATAACGTAGGAGTCCTACAAAGCGGGTTGCCCAGTCTGTGTCTCGGCTCCCCGGAGTAGAGGAGAGCATGTTGTGAGCAGCGAATATAGTAAACTCGATTGAGTGAAGGTGCAGGTAAAGCACTGTTTCACCTGGAGGTGTGTCTGGGGCCTTGGATAGTGAGAAGGGAGGATATTAGTGATATTAGCCAATGTCCATCACCCTTAAGGACCAATCACAGATTGATCAAATACCCCTTGAGCCAATTAAAAATGTGTCACCCAGGCCAATTAGAATGTAATAATATCACTGATCTTACAATAAGTTGTGACTTGGAGATAAAGTCAGCAACAGCAGTTTTCAGTGACCAAAGCACGTGCACCAAGTTTGAAGCTGAACTTAATATCACCTGCAATCCAGTCAGAAACACAAGGACATCAGGGTGTTAGAGCGGGTTCAGAGATCGAGTGTCGACTTCTTGCCCCTAGCCAAACGGGAAAGCAAGGCTGGAGTGTTCCTTTCAATTTAACGCTCTGCTTTATGAAGCATGACTTTATAACTTCAGTGACATTTCCTATGTTACCATGCCAGGCAGTTTCCTGTTGCCTGAAATGGTTAAAATCTGAAACAAAATAAAAACAGATGTTAGGATTTGGATTTAATTGGCAATCTAAAAATTTACATGGGTGAGGAGACTTTTAATTGAGCTGTTCAAAATCAGGAAAATTTTAATAAAGTGAAGAGGAAGGGCCAGCTTTCAGTGACTGCAGGTTCAAAACAAGACAACATACATTGAGAGTAATTGGTAAATTAGCCAAAGCCAACATGAAGCAATCTTCACACTGCAAGTTGCTGTGGTCTGGAATGCACTCCCTGAAAGGGAAATGGAAACTAATTCAATGGTACCTTACCAAAAGAAATGAAGTCAATATAGAAAAACTCTGCAGGATTAAGAGTGAGACAAATTTGGTAACCCTTCATCAAGCCCAAAGCTGGCCAAATGCCCCTCCTGAGCTGTATCATTCTATGATCACAGTGTGCAAGGCTACTGTGCAGAACCATCAATGAAGGAGCATCTCAATTAGTGCCCCTCCCTTGTCAACTTTCTGTTGTCCTGTACATTCTTCCATTGCAGATAACATGCAACATTTCCTGTTGAATTCCTCAATTGAACCTATATCCACCAAACTCTCAGGTGCCCAATTCCAAATCCTAACCACCCATGGTGTCATAAAGCTCTTCCTCTGTTGCTGTTGAGTCCTTTGTCAATTGAATTCAACCTTTCCTTCTAATTCCTGATCCTTCTACCAGTTGGAACAGTTTATTCATATCTACTCTATCCAAATCCCTCATGATTTTAAAAACTTTAAAACCTTCTCTCGAAGCAAGATGATGCAAACTTCTCCAATTTATCTGCAGAACTAAAGCTCCCCAGCCCTGGAACTATTCTCATGAATTTTTTCTGCAGCCCCTCTGAAAAGTGTGGTGCCCAGAAGTAGACGCAATGCACCAGCTGTGGCCCAGTGTTTTGTACAAGTTAATCATCTCCCCGTCCAAAGAACAAACTTTAATTCTTATGTACTGCTTGTTGTCACTCAAAAAGTTCAACACAATCCTGGACAAGCACCCATTATTGGCACCCCACCCATTACCTTGAAAATTCATTCCCCTCACCACCGTCATTGTGTATCACCTACAAGATACACTGCAGCAACCACCTAGGTACCTTCCAAAGCTGTCATTTCTACCAGCCAGGAGCACAAAGGTAGCAAATGCATAGGAATACCACCACCTACAAGCTTTCCTTTCAAGCCACGCACCATCCTGACATGGAATTGCATCTACATTGATGGGGGCCAGGGGCAGAGGGAGCAAGTTGTTAGGAAGGTGCAAAAAGGCTTCAAGAGGACTTGGTCAGGCTAAGTGAATGGGTTGGAAACATGGCAGGTGGAATATAATGTAAATAGAGGTGGATTATTCGATTTGGCAGAAAAAACAGAAAGACAAAATATTTCTTAAATAGTGAGGGGTTGGGAAATGTTGGTTTCCAAAGGAATCTGGGTGTCTTTGTTGATAAATCACTAAATGTAGCACGTAGGTGCAGTAGGCAATTGAAAAGGGAAACCTTATATTGGTAATCATTTCAGGAGGATCTGAGTCCAGAAGTAAAGCTGCACTTGTTTAGAACCTCAGTGAGACCTCACATTGAATACTGTGTATCTGTAATACTTCCCAGAGAGGGCGAGCAATGTAGATTTATCAGATTAATCCTGGGGATGTTGGGACGCTTACATGGAGAGAGTGGGAAACTGGGTCTATATTCTGTAGAATTTCAAATGATGAAAAGTGTTCTCATTGTAACATAAAAATTCTTCCATGGAGTGAAGATGGATATAGATAGGATGTCTCCAATGTCTGGTACTTCTGCAATCTGGAGGCATAATCTCAAAGGGCAGGGAGAGGACAGTTAAGACTGAGATGAGGAGGAATTTCTTCATTCAGAGGATGGTGAATCTTTGCAATTCTCTTCCACAGAGGACTATGAAAGCTCAATCATTGAGCAAGTTTGAGATAGAAATGGTTCAATTCCTGAGGTTAATGTCATAAGGAATGTGGAGATAGTGTGGGAGAATGGCATTAAGGAGATGGTTAGTCATGATCTACATTGTTGAGACAGACTCAACAGCCTCCTCCTGTACCTATATTTCGAAGAAAGAGTGAAATTTTATTTCGGGTTTGTTGTGGGAAAAAGTGAAATATCAGGCAGGACTTTGAAGTTATGGGAGAAAATCGAACTGAACTGTATCAGCGAGCGAGAGAGAGAGAAATAAGAAACAGCTTTCATCTGTGAGAGAGGGGAATATCAAGTCAGCTTTGTGAGAGAGAGAGTATCTGACACAGCTTGAGAGAGAAACTGAAACATCAGAAGTTTGTGCATTAAACAAGATATTATTATACAAGGGAGTTAGCTCTGTTGGCTGGATGGCTGATTTGTAATACAGAGTAATGCAAACAGCGTGTGGGTTTAATTCCTGCACTGGCTGAGATTACCATAACGGACTCTCCTTCTCAGCCTCTCCCCTCACCTGACCCTCAGGTTGAATATAGTAGTCATCTCTCTCGAATGAGAGAGCAGCCCTAGGGTCTGGTTAGACTATTGCCACATTAGCTTTCACCTCTATTAGACAGGATTGTGTGTAAGAGAAAGAAATATCAGAAAGTGGGAGAAAGTGGGTAAAACCGAGCCTGGGTCGTGTGAGGGAGAGGAATTTCAGACAAGATCATTGTGAGATCGAAGGGACTCACAAGAAGAGTTAGTGAATGATAGTGGGAAATATTAGACAAAGTTTGTGTGAGAATGCAAAATTTAAGACAGGAGTTGAGAATCGTTTAGGGGATGCATAGAGATGTCAGGCGGGAATGAAGAATTTGACAGGGGAATATGAGACAGGATCTGACAATGAGAGAGGAGCTGAAATATCTGGTCCTCCTCTCTCTCGTACACAAACTCT